GGCATGTTTCTTTCAACTTAGGCAATATTTTGCAATGCTTTCTTCAACTTGACTGCTAATTTTGAACCTATGCTTTTTTGTTAGAATATTACTGGTTAAACAAAAGGTATCAATTACATTGTACAGGCTTACCTATAACAAACTTCTATTATGCTATTGATGTCTTTAGAAGTGAGTGATTTTATTTTCTGAAGAATTCTTACAAAAGGGCTCTGTGGTGGAGTAGTCAAATATGAGAATACCCTATTTTTTGTCTTTTTATTTACAGCTCTATGACTAGTCAGTTAAAGCTTTTTTATTGACTATATTTATCAACTTAAAGATATAAAGAATCATTAGAAAAGGTAACATGAAATTAAAAGCAATGTGGTGAAAATAAGCCATGTTATTTGGTAAATCTTGATTTATATTTTTGATGGGATTTTGAGTTGCTGAATCGAACCTAACTGAAAACACTTGTCATTACATTTCACTGTGGTCTACTGAAACAGTCCGTGAGTGAATGGGAAAGTCTGGCACAGGTGAAGTCATTTAAAAAAACATTGAGAAGTTTTTGAAATTGTAGGGTTAGAATGTGAATGCAGATAGAAGATGTTAGTAGCTAGTAGTTAGTAGTAGGTAGTAAGTAGTAGTAGTAGTCAGCAGTAATTAGTTAAGGTTAGTAGTTAGCAGAGGCTAATCTGACAGATAACAGGAGAGCTGGAAAGGAAATCAAATTTCATTAACATGATCCTAAGAAATTACATCAGTTTAAAGAAATAAGGATTTATATGAAACAACCTGCAATTATTCAATATATTCTTTTCCATTTTGATTGGCTTTGTTGGGCCCATGATAAGTATATTCTTTCTCACTTACATTCTCATATGTGGTTCTACCCATTTTTAGTCAACTTGGTTGACTAAAATTCCTAAATATCCTTCCTTCTACAACTTAGCCCCTATCATATACCACCACTTTTTTGAGGAATTAGTTTAATCTTTGCTAGACCAAGAAGACTGGGCCATGTAGTATAAGGGACTTGGAGTTTTCTCCTTTACTTCTCAAAGCCAAGGCCTTCACCCTTTCTCTTTTCCTCCTGCCAGCCTTTCAGAAGCCTTGCCTATCTGCCTTGCTGAAGAATTTATCTCTCTTCCTAGATTCTTATTCCAACGCCTTGTACATCTGTTGCTCAAAATTGTCTCCATTAATATCAAGGTCAAACAAAAAGAAAGAGCAAAACCCAACTAAATTGTTATTTTTCATAAAATAAAGTTGTTTCTGGAGTACTTCCCTTAATTCTACCTTGAACACTCCCACATATGTGCTTTTATTTCTGACCTTGTCTTTACCTGAAATGACGCCCTTTGGTGCTCTGCCATCAACTATTCTACCACTCATTTAGTCCAGGGGGTTTTGAATAATACGAAGCAGATGTTCTGTAAGGGAGACTAAGGTCCACCACAGGCAGTGAGAGAGGGGCAGCAGATAGGTTAGAATCTCCATCCTCAAGCTGAAATAACTGTTTTTGTATATTTTGCATATTTGAGTTCTGGTGCTTTAAAAAATATTTGAAAATGACAAGTTTAATGAAATTGCAGAGAGATTAAGTGACTTGTTCAAGATTAGTGGCATATCGATGGGGCATTGTTAGGTAAAATAGAATTTGACATTAAGTATTCACAAAGATTTTCTTTCATGTCAATGTAATTTTAAATTATGGAGTAATTTCTGCCATAATTGATTATTTCTCACAATCCAGAATGATGTATAGACCATGATAGGGTCATTCCTATAGGCATTCCAGTTCTTGTGTGTGATATGAGGAAACTTGATTCTACTCTGACATGGAAAGTGATTTTTAGCTGTTTGTAATTAACTAAAAGCTATGTTAGATAATGCCAGAAAGTTGCAGATTGAGTTACTTGATTTGGCGAAATTTCTTGAGATGCCTTTCGTTTTATGCCAAGAAAATATCTCCTTCTTCATTAGTCACATTTCTGGGAGTTAAAGGGAAAGGATTTTCCAGAATTGATCTAAAAACATTTTGGAAGTGATTTTTACTATTCCTAAGCCTGACATCAGATGCAAAAGAACACCTTCCTTTCACCAGTTTCACTAGCCCGACACTCTTCCTTTTGCACTCTGAACCATTTGGTTCAACTAAAAGGGCTTGAAAGTGCTCCTGAATGCTTTTGGACCTGGAACATTCTGGCAATTGCTGTTTCCCAAAATAAACAAAGATGCAGGAAATAAGAATGTGACTGCACACTTTAGGTTAATTCTTTCCTATGTTTTTGTGATCTATTAAGGAGTCAAATGTTTTAGGTTATGAAAAATAACTTTAATAGGTCAATTTATACAAGTATGACTTGGCATCTTGTACCGCATTTAGCTGAAAAGCAAAAATGACCTGAAATGTTTCATGAGAAATTATATTTGAGGTTATACTTAAGTGAAATAAGATGGAGTGCTGGTGAAGGATACAACAGTTTGATGTACTTTTATGTATCACAATACATACGTTTATATAACTTTAAATTATTATATTATGCTTTAGTAAATAATTAACTGACAAGACACAGGCATTTTAACAGTGTTTTTGGAGGTATATATTTTTTTTTTCCCTCACAATAGTCTAAGATTACAGTTATTTTTCTCTAATCAACTTTGTTTTGCACAGCCTGCTTAATTAACAAGTATCTTCCATTTGCTGAGTTTTCACTTATCTTACACTTTGATTTTTTTTACTCACTTTTCAGTCACACGATGAGAAATGTAGACACTCTATACAAACAAGAAGTTCGTGCAAAGTCAAGCTCTCAAAACCACATGCAAGACTCAATAGCACATGGTTTAGAGCTCACACACTTCAGGATCATGTAACACAGGCATGCAGATGAGAGGGAAGAAAAATACCTACATTATGAAAATAGAGGATGATGAAAAAAGAATGACATTTTCTTTATGACAATTAACTAATGCAAACCGTATACCCATAACCTTTACCGGAGTGGAGGAAGGGGCAGGTAAGTGGCTTTTTGTGGAGAAGGGGTAAGTGTATATAAATATCATTGGAGGTCAAGTCATTGTTAAAATTAAGGGTTTCTATTCTGCACTTGGCCTCTCCCAGGTTATCTTTCCCAATTGCTTGCTTTGTCTATCCTCCGCTACATCATGCAAAAAAAGATCAGAACTAACACTGGAAACCACTTAACAAGCTCTAAACCTGACAGATAGCAAGGGTGTTCTCCACAGTTTACACGAGAATTAAATTGGATATAAATACCTCCTGTTCTTACCGGTGGGTGTTGTGATTCCATGTATTAAGGTGTGAAGCAGACAGGAAAGAGATAAATCTTTCATAAGTACATTGTAAATAAGCAAGTGGTATATAAACCATATTTATAGGTAATAGAGTCAAACAATGAAAGGTAAATAAGATGTCACAAAATAGACTTTATCACAAAATATGGCCACAAAACTAGTTATATGGAGAGGGGAGGTACAATAAATAGCTGTTTTATTACTGTTATTGAAATAATCTGGCATATAAAACAACAAAATTGAGTGGTACGTGTGTTGGTAAAAAAATTCTTGGCACTGCTTCAGCCAACCCAGCGTTAGAGAAACCCCAATAGTTCCAGATGATGATATCTTTGTAAAATAATAATATATAAAAGTGATCAATTTATAGGTGTTTTCTTGTGAGACTAAAGTGTTACCCTAGTAAGATCAATTTATCAAATAAATTTTCACAAAGAACACTGAGATACCTGGAAATGAAGTTTGGTTATGATTTTGCACAAAATGTGCTAACTGATTGGCTCTTCAAATTAACTTTTTATTATGGCATGTCCTTACTTCTCGGTCAGATAAATCTCACATACTGAGATAAGTTTATTCATGTGTAAATATGCCTTTCAAATTGGGCAATATTTGCAATAATTTCTCTATCTGGATTGGTAATTTTGAATCCGCTTTTTTTTTTGTTAGAATATTTACAAGTCAAATTAAAAGATATCAATCTAAATTATATAGGTACAATTATACAAAAATTGTATTATACTGTTGATGTCATTATATGTAAGGAGTTTTATTTTCTGAATATTTTTAGAAGCAGGTCCTTGTCCAGTGGAGGAGTAGCTATATGAAATGCACAATATTTTTAATCTTTTAAAAAATAGGTCTATGATATGCTATCGAATTTGGACCTGTTACATAATTAATTTTGAGGAATCAGTTTCTATAAGCCAAACAGCTAGGTCAAATAAATGTACCCAATTTTCCTAATATGAAAAAGAGCTTGATGGACCACAATTATGTTAACACTAATTGTGTTGATTTGGGGCCATTGTCAGAGGAATAAATGATTGTTAAAAGTGATTGCTGATGTTGAATTAGCTTAAAAGTAATGAAGAAATTTATACTTTCCCTTTGAAAGGAAATATGCATTAAATCAAATATAGTAAAGGGGCACATAGTTAATTTTTTTAAATATAGAAAAAAATTCCCATACCATAAACATGAGATTTCCTATCCTAAAGTGTTTAAGACATACTTAAGCTTCCTAATCTCTTCCACAATTCTCAAAATGACCTAATTTTTTTGGAAGAGTGTTAACCTTGAATTTCTGTTTTGGGCCATCATAGTTATTACTGTTTACTTGTATATAATCTTAATGCAAATGGGTCCAACTATTTTCGGGGGTACTGGTAGGTAGGCCATGTGGTGAAAGACCAAGCTTAGCAAGGCTCTCTTTAAACAGAAGTGGAGACTCTACTACACATAGTTATATCAGTTTGCATCATGTTATAATGCCTTTGCCACACAGTATAACTAGAATATAGCACCATGCAATGCCATGAATTGAGAATGAGAGGTTATCTCCAGGGGAGAAAATAAACATCTGAGAGAGAAAAACAAAAGCAAGAGGTTCAAAGCTGGTGAGACTAGCTTTTCCATTTTGGCTGTAGCTAAAATGCCTATGGTTCTTTCGTTTTGGAAACAGAAATACATACCATATTCATGTCAATGCCGTTGGTGTAAGTCCATGCATGTTGGAAATATTCTTCAAGCCGTTGCCTCAGAGGATTGGGAATTTGGTGAAAGCGAATGAACTCTTTTACTCGTAGCATCTGCATGTGGTACCTGGCAGTTCCCGAGTATAGTCTTTGGATAATTGCAGATACATTCCCGAAAATGCTTGCATACATTAGTGCTGGATTGAATAAAAAATAAAGTTATGGGGGAAGATTGGATTTTGGAAATATTATATCTTGTCAGAGTCTCAAGTATGTTAATTTTTATTTATCTCAATTCAGTTATGAGGATTTTCCATTGGCCCTTGGAGGAAAAAAAATGGTCAAGCCAATGCAGCTTCAAATTTTATAATTTTGATGATACTGGACAGGAAAAGTCTCTAAATTCCTGATGGATTCTAAATTAAAGTTAAAACTCAGGTTGTTTACAATACCAACCTGTAAGCTGGAGTGCTGATTAGAGATAAAATCCATTTAGAATAAATATTTTGTTTGTAGAGAAAAGTAGACTAAATCACTGTTTTTTGTCTAAGTGAAGAAGTGAACTGCTATGATACTCTAAGTATTGCACTTAGGTAGAACAACCTTTTCAGTGCATCCTGAGCTAAATCTTTACAAGGTAACAGGAGGCTTTTAAGTCATCTTCTCTTTATCATTATATTGTCATTCCGTTTCTAATAATCCTAAAAAGTTCCATACTCCTCAGAAAATCAAATCATGACAAATGGTCTCTACCTTTATCTTTGGATGTGTCAGAGCTTTAGAGAGAAGGTTACATATGTTTAAGGCTTTGGAACTACAATATACCAAGCAGGTGAGAAAAATAAACATTTTTAAAATGTTTAATTCAACTATATTCAATAAACACATTTCCCTCCCCCCACAACACTTTTTATAGAACACTATCTCTATCAATCATGTAACCATTTTAAAAGTAGATTTTGGCCAAGTTCAAGGCGTTTTAAAGTGGCTTTCCTTAATAATTGGCTTTCTTTTCCACCTTTGTCTCTTGGTGAATATGGTCCCTGTTTGCCACAGGTGTCCCTACTAAGAGAATGTCCCAGAGAAAGCAGTGACCCTTTGTTTTTATATATTTAAAAGGATGAAAGTTGGGGCCATCTGTAGTGAATTGGGATGTGTGAAAGACAGTATGTCTCAGTAAGGCAGACAAACTGTTCAGATTGTATCTTCCACAGAAAAAAATACATGAGGCTAACTTTAATAAATGAATAGTTGATTAGGAAGGGAGTTAACAATACTTGCCTGAAACTGATTCCTGTGATCCAAGGAGATTCATGTGAAAAATATATTTTACTCTTCCTAATTGTAGTTTTGGAAATATTTATGCATGCTGTTATGTCTCCATAGTACCTATCATGTGCTCAGGAAATAGTACAAATTAAATTCACTTGATTTAATCAAAGGGCACATCATCAATGCTAGTTATTTTACCTGAACCACATAATTACTTAAGAGCCAGGGCAAACATTCTTATTTCGTATTTAATAAATACTGTGGTTTTAAATCTATATTGCCACAAGAATGAACCAAAACATTAGTTTGGGTCATAAACAGGTATTTCCACTCCTTGACAAGATGGCAAAATCTAGATTATAAGTACATTGAATATATGAATGACCTATATTGTTCCTAAGATATTCTATATTGATGGCTTCTCAGATTGTAATAGAGACATACTATTTTTTTAAGGAAGGAAATAAATCTAAAGACTGTCAACAAGAGAGAAGCACAAATTGACTATATTATGTATACATTATTAAGGTAATGCCCTTTAACTGGCAATAAAATATTTGTCAAAAGCACCTTGAAGTAATATTTTCAGGCATTTCTTTCCTAACTCACTATTTTATTTAGCTTTCCATAATAGGGAGATATTATTTCATCAAAATTATTTGCTTTAGGTTTAGATATTATAGATAATATACATTTATCTTAAACATTTCTTCAGCATACTATACTCCAAATCAGATATGCTAACCACACTAATGAATTTAGTTGGCTATTTAGGTATTAGTGAAACATGTTGATAGAACAAATACACTTGATTTTCTACAAATTACACAAACTTAAAAAATTGTAACTTAAACATTTTATTGATGTGTAATTTACATATAATAAAATGAACCTGTTTTAAATGTAACGTTCAGTTAGTTTTGACAAATGTACACACTCCTGTAAACAAAATCAATATATAACACATTTTTACTACCCCAAAATATTTCCTGTGTCCCTTAGCTATCTGCTTACTCATTTCAGACCCTAGAAAACCACTGAGGGTCTTTGTATCATTAAATTTTAGTTTTCATTTTCTGGAATTTCATATAAATAGACTCAAAATATACATGTTCATTTGTGCCTGACTTCTTTTGCTCAACATTATGACTTTGAAATTAATTTTGTGTCAAGTGTATCAATAAATTATTATTATTATTATTATTTTTATCACTGAGCAGATTTGTATTGTATGGCTATACCACAGTTTCTCTCCTCTGTTGCTAAAAAAAAATTCACTGTTTCTAGTTTTTTGGTTATAATGAATGAAAGTGCCATGAACATTTTTATACAAATCTTTGGGTAAGCATTTTAATTTCCCTTTTAAAATCTAAAAATGGAATAGCTGAGTTACATGGCATGTTTGACTTTATAAGAAATGGCCAATCTATTTCCTAAAATTGTTATGTTACACTTCCTCCAGCAATGCATGAGAATTTCACCTCTGTTTTTAAGATTTTTTTTTTTACCTCTTTATCATTAGTTTTCAGTATTTTTATTATAATGCATTGTGTGTGTGTGTGTGTGTGTGTGTGTGTTTACCTGTTTGGGATTTACTGAACTTCTTGGAGCTATGATTTATAGGTTTTTTTTTAATCAATTTTAGAAAAACCTCAGCCATTTCTAAAAAAAAAAAAAAAATTCGACTTCCTGTCCATTTTTTGGAAGTCCAACATTTGTTCAAAGATTTGGTATTGTCTGCTATGCCTATCATCTCTGTTAACTCTAGCTATAGTTTTTTAAAAAAATGTTTTTTTCTCCTGCTTATGGGTTACATTTCTTATTTCTTAGCATATCTATTTATTTTTTAATGAATGATAGGCATTTCAAATTTAACACTGTTCATTGCTTTATATTCTTTGCCATCTTTAGAAATGGTGGATGTTGTTCTTGCAGGCAGTGAAATTGCTCATAGATCAGCTTGCTCCTTTTGAGGCTAGTATTTTAGGCTTTGTTAGGTAGACAGGCTCTAGTCCTATGGCAATAGTTTTCTGAGATTTAGGGTTTTCTACTCTGCTGGTGGGAATTGTTCAGCTTACAGGGCTTTTAAAATCTATTTGTCAGTATTGGAGGAATTTTACTTCATGCATTTCTGACTTTGTATTCATCAGTAGACTCAAGGGCAGACCTATCTGGAGATTTTCTATGCCATAGCTGGCTCTTTTCTGTCTTGCAATACTAGCACCTGCCTCCACAACTTCTTATCCTGTGTTCTTAGCTCAGTAAGGCACCTTTCACTGCAGAAAGTGCCTCCAGACTGAAAGCTGAGGATAACAGGAGGCCCATCTTGTTTGTTTTCCTTCTTTGAGGGATCAGATCCCCTACTATTTTATTGCCAATGTATAAAAAACAGTTGACCTGCATATTTTGTTTTGTTTTATGCCCTTTAAAAAAAGATATCGGGGTATTCTAGTTATTCCACCATGGCTAAAAGAAGAAATCCAATGACATGTTTTCCATGCTATAAACACAAGGAATTCTTCCAAGATGTTTGTTAAATAGATCATAGATGATACACATTTGCCTTAGTTTACTGGTTTATGTGTTTTAAAGTTAAATGTCTTTTATTGTATTTATGATAGTTGAATAAAGAGTAAATTTGTATATTAGCATACCTATATGTAAATACATGAGCATAACTTACATTTACACTTATTTGGTGGCTAGCAAATATCAGTGACATTTTTACTATTGTTAAGTTTCAAGCCTTAATTTCATTTTTTTCCTTTATTTATGACTTAACAAGTCATAAAGTTCTTCAGGAATATTTACACATTTTTCCTGTGTGACATTAAGTTTTATATAATCTCATTTTGATTAAAATTTGCAAAACTGATTTGTTATCCAAATAAAGGATATCATGTAGGAAGTGGGATGTCTCATACTCTACCCAATTAACTATAATGTTTTTTCTTTTTTAAAAATAATAAATTCACTTGCAGGAGACACATTCCTAAAGAATCAATAAAATAACCTAATGTCACATTTTAAAAAGAAGAAAGAGTAAAGAAATAAAAAAGAAAAGCAGAAAGGAAATAAAAAAGAATTAAAACTGCCAAAAATCCCCTGGTTTAGGAATTAAAGATTAGCTATAGAGCAAGTAAAAAGTTGATTTTTAAAAAAACTTGAAATAAAGTACTGATAAACTGTACTATGCATTGCACTTGTTTTCACAGGTGGTAAGGGTTTCTAAGTGGTGAATAAGTTAAACTTCAGTGCATTTATAAAATTCTTTCTTATAAATTCTAAGTTTCAAGATACAGATTTTGTTTTCTTTTTTAAAAAGTTTAAATTTATATATATATATATATTTTTTTTTTACATAGGTTTTTAAATAATAAAAAACACATTTTCTTTTGCTTGCTTGCTATCTATGTCACTAAAATTCACAACTACTAAAAGTATTATATTTGCTAGCAGTTATAATCATATTGGGACTGTTTTCGCTAAGAGAATTTTTCTATTTTCTCCTGTAGGCCCATTTCCATTTCCTTCTGGATACAGTGCTACTTCTGTGTTTACATCCATGATTGAGTCTGAATTTGAAGAATATTTTAAAAGTTACTTAAATATAATGATTTTGTTTATTCAAATGTTACTATAAAAAAAACCCAGCAAGACATATATATATATATATATATACACATATATATATGTATATATATATGTATATATATATATATGAAGTAAATTTTAAATAACATGGACAATAAACTGATGAATCATTAAATTTCATACCTAAGTTTTATCTAAACGCATTTCCTTAGTAAATATCGAACAATTAAAAATAAACTCTCTGGAAATAATGATTGGTGGCCTCCCACAAGCATCCCGACTGAGACTGGGTATTGAATCTGCAACCCAGGTACGTGCCTTGACCAGGAATCAAACCCGTGACCCTTCAATGTGTGGGCCAACACTCTAATCACTTAGCAACACCAGCCATAGCTACAAGATTACTTGTTAAGAGAGATTTATAATTCCATGTACAAGCCCCTAAAAATGTAAAAAATAAACTCTTTGAGTCAATTTTCAAATTTGTATTCAATCTACGGATGATGCTATTTTTAAGTTTATACATTCATCAATTTGCCAATTGCTTCCTGGTATCAGCAAGGCTATCTTTAGTGGTTCCAAGGTGAGATTTAAATAATATATATACTACTATTAAAACATCTTTAGTTCAATACAAACTTTTTTTCTTCTTATTCCAAAGAATGCTCCTTATAAGTAATGCTCATGTTATTACTCAATTACAAGGTAAAGGTCAATCAGTTAGGCCTTGACATAGTGTTACAGGGAAAGGGATTTATAGGCAATAATGGGGATATATATATATATATATATATATATATATATATTCATATGTAAGAGATTAACTTGTACATATTCATATGTAAGAGATTAACTTGCATTATTAGTGATCATATATACTTGTAAATTAGTGATATATATTTCTATATCTAATTAGGACATCTAGTAATATAATGTAAGCTCATCTTTCCAATTCAAACCTGCCTCAGCTGGAAACAGAAGATAACTATTGGTAATAAATTAGGAACAGACACTCTTTTACAGCAGTAAAGGTGAACTGCAAGTCTCAATTGCTGAATCCCAAGACTCGTTTGACTTCAGTTTTATGCTCATGTTTTCCTGAAGTCTTGAAAACCTTTGGTTGCTTCCCTTCAAAGACAAATACACTATGATACCTAAATATGCAACCCCATTACTTCTACAATTTATATATATATATATATATATATATATATATATATATATATATATATATATATATATATATTTGCCTTACTCTAAATGTTCTGGTGATAAATATATATATATATATTTGCCTTACTCTAAATGTTCTGGTGATATCAATTTTGTGATATTATTTTGTCCTAATAGATAACAAAAGAGAAGTCTACTTACAGCCAATCAACATGACACAAATTGAAAAGATTTTTTCCGAATTGGTGTTAGGTGACACATTCCCGAATCCTACACTGGTTAAACTGCTGAAGGTAAAATAAAGTGCGGTGACGTATTTGTCTTTAATGGATGGCCCAGAACTTGAGTCACTGTCATTGTAACGTTTTCCAATTTGTTGTCCTAAGGAGTCCAACCATCCGATTTTGTCAGTCAGGTAGGGCCTTTCTACGTTCCCAATCGCATACCAAATGCAAGCCAGCCAGTGAGCAATCAGGGCAAATATGCACATTAAGAGCATCAGAACAGCAGCGCCGTATTCTGAGTAGCGGTCAAGCTTCCGAGCCACTCGCACAAGACGGAGGAGTCGAGCTGTCTTCAGAAGGCCAATCAGTGTTGTTGTCTGTGGAGGTAAATGTGTGTGGTCAGAAACAGTTGATAGAGGTTCAAGGTATGTTCCTGTGAAGCTAAGTAGCAGGAACAGGTTAAAACAACATGGTGGCATCAACGATAACTGTATATTTGAATTAAATATTTTCTTACCCACGTTGTAAAATATTCTGAAAATATGCATTGCACTAATTTAGTATCTTGGCATGCAAAAACTCTGGGACCAATAATTTATCTATCTTACTTTATGCTCTAACCATCATGGGTAAATCATTCCTTCACCAACAAACATCCCAGGGTGTTACTGGTGTGCCTAGCAGGTGCCACACACTGGAAGTGTAGTATTGAAAAAAACACACAAAAAAACATACATGGTCACTTTTCTAAGAAGAGACAGTTATTTGGCAGACACAATGTCTTCTTTAATAAAGAGAGACAAGTTCACTATCTATTGGGGATGTAAATAAACAGTAAAATCATTTCAGAGATGAGAAGTGCCATGATGAAAACGAGACAGAGTGATATGACAGAAGTCGTTTGGGGGCCTGGGTTGGAATGGGGACTAGTTTATAACAGAGGGCCTTTCCGAGGAGCTTTCCTTGGAATTAAGAAAGATCTGCACAAAGAGAAGGAGCTAGTAAAGCAGATAATCTGGGAAACCTTTTGGATGATTGCATGACGCACTAGATACTAGATTTAAATGCATTTTTCCTTCTTAAATATGTTAAGTTGGTAAATTGTTTCTTGATCTCCCAACAATATTGTGCATTTTGCTTTGTGGTGTAATATGTGTAACTAATGACATGATTATTATTGACCACGTATCTAATGATAGGACACTTCTATATAATAACATGATACTTAACTGGTTGTTTGGACTTGAAATCTGATGAACACAAATTACAAGTTTATTTTTTGGGTTTCCTAAATAATGTCAGCTATAAGTACTACATATTTCACAGTGCATATAATTATTCCATAGCTACATGGTGTTTACCAATCAATTATTTAGTCATTTTATCTGTTCATTGTTGGTATTTATTTCACGAAGTGCATTCAACTGAGTTAAGAACATATATTTTAATTAGAGAAATAGTTCATGACATAAGTATCATCCTATATCTATTCACATTGACTTGATGGAAAAAGGGCACTAAATATCAAGAAATGTTTTCATTAAAATACTATAATTGTTGCAATTATCCCCCAAACCCCCTTAGTCATAATGGTCACAAGGGAAGGGGAGATTTCTCTGAATTCTTTTTTTAACTTTTTTTAAATTTCTTTATTGATTAAGGTATTATATATGTGTCCTTATCCTCCTTTAATTGAGTGCTGACACCTTCTACAGGTGAGAGGAGCTTGTGTAGCTGAGATGTGATGATGACATTTGGACTCCAGACTTAGCTTATTTTGGAATGTGTGGAGAGGGGAGTCTTCCCTGTTTTCAATGGTGGGTTCTTTTTTTTTTTCCAGGTGCAATACAGAAAATAGTTGTGTTTTTTTTTTTTTTTTTTTTTTTTTTTTTTGTCTTTTACAAATTTAAAAATATATCTCATCACAGTAAATAAACAGAGAATTTAAGTTAGTATTAAATAGTTCCTTTGGAGGAGAGTCGACTTTCTACTATTTGTATTATCAGCATTTTAGCTTAGCGTTTATGTGCTAAGACTGTTTGAATTCTGTTTCTATACCAGTGTTGTCACCTAGGACAAGCTACTTATTTAATCTCTAAGCATCAATTTTCAATGTTATGGGCATAATAATGCCTATCTTATAGGAATGTAGAAAATACCCAATAAATGGTAACTCTTCGTGTTCTTATTTGAACAGTCAGGCATTTTGTTCTCATCAGTTAGCAGGAACTTTTATTATAAAATGAGTTGATAGAGTTTATACACTTACAAAATGCATTATCCAGATATCTGGAATCCTAAGTGGAGGTGTTTTAACATTGGCTTTGCAGGTTCCCCAGGAAATGATGGAGATTATATTATATTATATTATATTATATTATATTATATTATATTCTTATATTATATTATATATTTATTTTTTGTTAATCATTGGCTGAGGATTGATTTCCATTGATTTTTAGAGAGAGTGGTAGGGAGAGGGAGAGACACACAGAGAGAAACATCAATATGTGAGAGACACAATGATTGATTGCCTTCTGCCTGTGCCCCCACCTGCTCTGGGGATTGAGCCTGCAACTGGGGTACTAGGTCTGTGCCCTTTACTGGAATCAAACCCAGAAGCCTTCAATCCGAGGGCCAATGCTATATCCCCTGAGCCAAACCACCTAAGGTATGGCAGGGATTTTAAAGACAAGAACTTCATCCAGTTGCACTGTCTGCTCAGACTCTGATAATATGAATCACTCTGGTTCAATGTGTCACCATTCCTATACTTCACAGCTTAAGTTTACATGTTTATTTTTTATCTTAGCCCAGTTATCTATTTCCTTCTATTGAAAAATCAGTAATATCTGAGGATTGTTATTCAAAATTTCTTGTCCTCAGAACAAAATTTCTCTTTGAACCCCAAAGTAAATGAAATATAATGAAAATTCTCTGCATATTTGATTACTGAAGTGAGATACTTCTAAAGAAAGTAGCTGTTTTAACTAGATCATAATGTGATAACAAGAACTGACTCTTCAGGCTGCAAAGGTGGTAGAGTAGGGGAAAATGATGTTATGAGGTGAGGAAAAAGGGAATGAAATCTGTTGGCATGCCACCCACCTCCTTTTTGTTCTCTTCCCAAAGAAACCTCTGGTGTTTCTTCCAGAATTATATTACAATGACATAAAACCTAAATGACAGTACGTTTTCTAACCAGATAAATAAATATATCTTATATAATAACATCCAAGAGACATCTTTTGGGAACAAAAAAGCTTAAGAAATAGGGTACACAATGAGTCTCAACCCAATTTCATAAGTGAATATTGGCTTCAGAGTCAAAGCTATGTACCCAAGCATAACTGTATGTTAGTCTGACAACATGACAAATGACTTGACCCTCTTTCTATTGTTATCAAGATGCACTAATACACCTGGGCATTCTTTCTTAGCTACAATTGTAGATAGCACATCTTGTAGATAACACAATATTGCAATAATTCCTTTCTTCTTGTTGCTTAAATATCTCTTTATAGATTTAAGGGAAGTTTTGTCCCAGGTTGCACAACAGAAAGAAGTAATTGAATCAAAATCTCAGGGAGAATAGACTAAATAATAGTCAAAATCCTCTTGATGATTTGTAGGAGATTGTTTGCCTCCATTGGACTAAAGTACAATGGACTACCTTGTATTACCTGCAAGTGAAAAATGGGATCAACAACTATCTTACAATTTAATTGTGTTGACATCAGAATTTGGCTGAGTGGAGTGTTTTCAGGATGTATGGCTATATCACAGCATATCTAATTTTATGTACTATTCAGACACATTATGGGAAGCTGTCTTTGTGGGTTTTCTCAATTTTTAAAAATAGACATGAAATCATCCTTAAATCAATTATAATAATTTCAAAAATTATAGAGATAATGGACTTTCTCTTAGATGATAGTTCTTGAGCTTTTCATTGGATATTATAAAAAATATTGCATTCATTGTTACTTTTGGTAGAGATTAAAAAATCATTAAAGCTCACCAGAGGTAAGTATTGTTATTATAATATATAAAGACATAATGATAATAAGTAAGCTATAGAAAGAGCTGAGCCATTTTGCAGGGGATTGAAGCAAGGTACTGTTTCCTGACCTGCCCATGAACTACAGCAAGTCAAGGCTCCACCTCATCAATATCCACGCCATCTCTGAACTCAACTCCTTTACTCTGATTCAATGATATTTCAAATTCTTTTTCCTTTTAATGCAATAATAAAAAAGGCTATTTATTTAAGGATTTTATTTTAATGTGTTTTCTCATATATATTTTTTAAAATGTAAAATGCCTCTTCCCCTGGAAATTCACTTATTTAAATTTTAAGGGGAGAGGAGAGAGGCACTGATAAATATAATCCAATTTCAATTTTTTAAAAATGTACCTATATTCATAATTTATTAAAGTCCTAGATACTTTATTATATTGAGTTGGAAGTTAGTTTTCTTTATTAAGTATGACTTTCTCAACTAAATTTTATTTTAACAAAGTATACTCTAAACAATTATATCCTTGCAATTATGTTAGGTACTAGACCTAGATTCAAGAAGATTATGTGATTACTTTTATTAGACATTTTACAATATATCAGGCAATATTCTCTCTTAATGTAGTGGAATTCATTTTCAAGGCCTGAAATAGAATAGGATATTTCTGATCAATATTCAACAACTATCCACTCAAGATTAAATGTGGCTACAGTTAAACTGAGAAAACCTGAACTGTAAGAGAAAATCTTATGCTCAAATGTTTTTCAAAATTATTTTGAAAAATGGTTCTACTGTCTTTTTAGTAAACATTTTTAAGACTCTTACATTTAAAATACTTTATTTCAGAGGTTTACTCTCTAAAACCAGTGTTTATGGTAAGTGGAAAGAATTATTCTTTTATAAGTGAGGAAATATAAGTAAGTGACCTTTGGTTTCATCTATAGGGTTGATAAACTGAGTTGTCACTGAAACTTTCTACTTAATCCATTAGTCTGTCTTGCTTGTCAAGAAATATTTTGATACAAGAGGAAGAATAAGAAGAGTGAGAAATAAATTTCATAACTGTACACTTACATTTTTGCTTTATATTTTATTTCAATTACCTTTTAGCTCTTGTACTTGTAAACAGCATTTAATGAATTACTTACCAATATAACTTAATAATTTTGAAACTAGTTTCTAGTCTGTTGTTCATCTTGAGTCACAATATTTTAATATTTCTAAGAACACACTCACTAATACAATCAAAGAGCTACATTTTGAGTGTGCAAGAAACATTGAAGGAATAAACTAACTCAGTGTTCAGCAAATTCATTATTCAACAGAGTGGCAAACCTACCACTGACCTAACTTAT